GTGGGGGGCTTTAGCAGTAGTGGTCATCAGAACGGCCCCTCACTGTTTGTTACTTTACTGGGCACAAAAGAACACAACCCCACTGTTGAGTCACTAGTACTAGTGACCTGTGCATTGCATCCTTGTTTTTTTTAGTCTAAGCTGTCTGCTGCCTTTGGTGGCTGGATGCCCTTCTGACTCTTGAGCATATTGAATGCCCGTGTCCACAGCTCCTTCCACAGTGTCTTTGGACCAGGGTGCCACACGCTTCTTTGCTGCACTGCGTACTGTCGCAGTGCCGGATGCTGGCAATCTGCTCACTGTGGGCAGTGGCGACGTGTCTTTCCTACTTCACAACCCAAACTACCAGCTGTATGTTCGGAAGTGCTATCCGGACCTCTTCTATGCCCTCTACGAGTCGACAAGCAAGAAGCATGTCGGTGAGGCCCACCTCTTTCTCTGCTTTTACCTGCCAGGCTACCAGTGTGTACAGTTAGGACCCAATGCACATGGTGACTGCATCATCATCATTGTATGCACCATTGTGTGTTCTTGATGTGGGTTGAGATGTACATGAGTCAGTGGGTGGGAGACAGCTTGTGTTCTTTAGACATGTAAATGACTAATGGCTGGCACTGGCCTGCTACACTGCTGGCCCCTCTCCTGTCTGTTGAATGAAGCACCCTGTAACACAGCAAAGGCGTAACTCGGGATGCTCAGATTGGCATTTGCGTCGTTACATTGCCCCCCACTTAGCAATGGACGTCCTCGGCCATTATTTCGAGCACAGGAGCCATCCCACCTCGCGCCAGTGCGCTGGTTTATCCATTACACCATGAAATCGCCAATTTGCGACTTGCTGGTTGCCAGAATCGAACCGCCGACCCGAAGTTTATTTCGGAATTCGTGCGGTCCCGTCTCGATACCATTGTAACACAGCAAAGGCGTAACCCGGGATGCTCAGATTGGCATTTGCGTCGTTACACACCCACCCTTACTGGCACACCGGGTCGGGTATGAGGGACTCTACTTATCCCAACCTGCCATTTTGCCAGGATGGTCTCTAACAATATGGATTCTAGTTGAATATTGCCCTCGAGAACAAGCAATGCATGGACAGTTTTTTTATAAGCACCAGAGCCCTTCTGCAAAGCTATGCCTGTGTCCTGCTGCTGTTGATCATTCACTCCACTCACTTGATGACCAAGGCCACCCCCTTGCCCTTGTGTGTTTTGTTGCAGTTACCGGGACGCCTGGGATTGGAAAGAGCTACTTCTTTTACTACATGCTGTTGCGGCTGCTGCACAGCCCATCGCCACCGCCCTTCATCCTTTGGGAGCACTACGGATTTCCTGGTGTAGTGGTGGGTTACCCCTGTACTGTGCTGTATCTGTGTGCTGGTGTAGAAGCGTCTTGACATTTTTCCTTTTTTATGCCCTTTCTGGTCACCAGTGGTGCTACATGCATGAGACAGGCCAGGTCCAGTATTCCAGCAATGGCCGTGTGGCTTTCTTGGAGGCGTTCCGCAATCCCGAGACCTGGTGGGTTCTAGCTGCACAGTGCAGCACACTGATAGTGTGCTACAGGGTGCCATACATACATACCCCCGTCCAGGACATCCAGGACATCCCAGCCATTTCCTTTGGCCTTGCTTTTGGTAGGGGAATGGTTGG